ATTCTCTATACTCATGAAACTTCTTAGTTTGAGCTGTAATTGGCATTAATCTTACAGTGTTTTAGAGCATTTTGGAATGCCCTTAGAAATTATCTGTGCCAAATTCCTCATCGTACATATGAAGCCGTTGATTGCCTTTGCCAGACTCCACACTGCTAATTGGTGGCTGGAGGAGGACTAGTGATGTCTCCTAATTTCCCAGTCGAACCTTGCCAAAAACGTCAGCAAAGAGAGGAGTATTATGCCTCACAGGGCATGCTGTTTTCTAGTAAACTTTTCCTCTCTTGAGCAATTGCTTCATTCGGTTTAGGCAAAGGTTGTAATGTAAAATAATGTTTTAGTTCATTCTCTTTTCACTTGACAGTGTGGCCATCTTAGTGTTAAGTGTTCATTACCCAATACTTCCCAATAAATGTGCCAAAAACTGATATTAAAGATATGGATGGAAACAACAAAAAGTTAAAAAACAGGAGGGAAGGGGAATGGAGTTAAAGGGTAGAATTTGTTAGATTTCTCTTTGCTTATTTGTTTATTTATTTGTTTGTAAGCAGCGTTGTCATATGTTTAAAATAGGTGGTTATAAGATGTTTTTTGTAAGCCTCATAGTAACCTTAAATCAGAGATATCTTTGGAAAGCAGGGAATCACTTGGTAAATACACTTAATCACTCCTGGCGTATCATTTTCATGTAAGTTTTTAAGTGGAGGTGAAGTTCTACACTTCTCTGACATAATCATCTGTGGTAGGAGGTTTTTTGCTTTTCTAATAAGGTGTCTGTCCTATGGTGAGGTGACTTCCTCAATGACATCTATTTTGTCCACTTGGCCCCGAGGAGACTCATTTAGTCTGGAAAAGTCCAATTGTGGCTCTAAGGCAGTTCCCAAGATTTGGCTCAGTCTTGGACCAAGCAAACTGGGTAGCGGTCAGGCATGGAATTTCAGGCTACAAGAGCATTTCTCTCCATGCAGCTCTTTTCCCAGCTCACCTATACATGGATGGGGCTCTTGGGGACAAGAAAGAGACCGGATGGTTATCCCAGGATCGGGCTTTTATTAGACGGTAAATATCTGGATTCCTTCCTTTTTCAGATGGGTGAGTCAAGTGACGACATAGACCAAATGTTCAGCACTTTGCTGGGGGAGATGGATCTTCTGACCCAGGTAAACTTCCCTTCTTAACTCAGAAAAAAAATGGGGTTACGGAATTTGATGTTAATATGACAAGAGAACTGTCTTTAAGAAGGAATCCTGCAGATTAACAAGATTATCTATTCCTGAGGTTACTATGACAGCAACAGGGAAAAACAACGCTTTTTCCTAACTGTACCCTTCTGAATTCAATTAATTTAATGTGTTGGTCACACATGCGTCAGGCTCATAGTGTCCAAATATTCACCAATAGAGGAATTTCCCTCAAGTGTACCCCGGCCCCCGCCACCCCCCCCCCTTGGGCATTTTCCCTTGTTTTTCCTTTTTTAAGGCTTGGTTAGGAAATTGCCTTCTTTTTCGGGAAGTTTTTTACCAACCTTTGAGAAAACGCTACATTTTTGAAGGACTAAGTAGGAGTCATCGTGGCCCCCTGATCAGACTGTAAGAAGTTAGTTCCCACAAAGGAGCATGAAAGCCACCCAGCCATAGGCTGCAAGTCTGAGAAAAGCCACCGACACCAAGACAGATGAACTCACAGGTCACCCCCACTGTCAGGCCCACTGGAGCCCAGTGGCTTCTGACCCCAGGGCCACTCAGCCAGGTGACAAAGTCAGGCGAGCTTTAGTGTGTCTCACAGTGTTCTCATAAATGCTGCTTTGATTCAGAGGCTCGTCAGCTCAGCACTTTTCCGCATAAAATAGCAAAAGAAGAATAAGCCAATATTTCTAAATAAGATAGGGATTTTTAAAAATTTTCTGCAAAATAAATGGCCAATGTTTTGAAAGACTATTTATTTTAGGAAAAATAAACCAACTGCAGTTAGCATCTACTTTATACTACCAATAAAATCCAAGGAAGTTGGATTCTATGAAAGAAGAGATAAAGTATGAGACAGTAGGCTTAGAGGAAGGGGTGCTGCTTAAGAAAAGGTGAGCGTTGGGATGGCGACCACATTCCTACACATGGGAACTTTGTTTTTTCCTCCCACGAGGGTTTGAGGGAACATCTGTGGTCTCTCTCAGTCCTTCCACGTACTCCTGCAGCCCTCGGGAGAAGTGACTGCTCTGATTGGTCAGAGTCTGGGATTTTCATGGGACCACATTTAAGTATTGTTACTGTCACTCAAGAACTGGAAAGAGCCCCTGGGAGTCCTTTGGACTTGCATTTACTCAAGGCCATTTTAGCTATTGTCATTTCTTTGTTGTGCCCAAGAGGGTGTAGTCATAGGGTTTGCTTGGCTACTAGAGCTCTCCCAACAGGTGGGTGCCAAGATTTCAGGGTAAGGAAAAGGCCCTACTTTGTCTAAAGACAAAGTAACAGGATAACGTTTAATATATAGTAGCAGACTGCATCCTGAAACAGCTTTTCTCCTCCAGTGACTAGATATTTCTTTCCTTGATGTCATTACTTAGGACCATATGGAATTATATGTAGTGTATGTGTTCATCATTACAAGACATTTTTTCTGTTCTTTATAAAAAGCGAACTCAACTAGCTCATTCTCATCATTCTCAATTGACATGTTCTGTTTCAAGATGTTCCTTCTAGAATAGTGTTTTAAGTTGTAGTTTTCTGTAGGATAAAAAAAAATCACAAAACATTTTCAAGTAAGAATATGGCTTTAGAGAATACACTTGAAGAGAACATTTGTAAATAGTAAATGGTTTTTAACTTGCTGATTAAAACGTGCTACAGAAATGTTCGTATTTTGAATAACTTTTTTGGGGGGTGGGATCTGTTTTCACAGAGTTTAGGAGTCGACACTCTTCCTCCTCCTGACCCTAAACCACCCAGAGCTGAATTTAACTACAGTGTGGGTTTTAAAGATTTAAATGGTAAGCATAACCATTTGTTTTCTTAAGTAATTTGAAATCATAAGGATGACTAAAATATCTATGGAACTATAATTTGAAAGCAAAATTAAAAGAACTTGAACGTCATGATAAATATCATGTTAAAATCCCTGGATTTTAATATCTTGTTAAAATCCCTGGATTTCAGATTGTGTTTTACTGTGTTTGGATTGAATTCAGAGAGTCAAGATGATATTTTTGCCTTTAACGAAAGGGAACACCATCCTGCATTTGTGAAAAGTCTCAAAATGAACTTATTTTTTGAAGTAAGGGGGAGTTTCTTCTTATTCCTAAGCCCACAGAGTAACGAGGAGTAGTATAACAAAATATTAATAAGGAAATGTCCCTTCAAGGATAAAAATGAACTGTCTATTTCATAATGATTAATGATTCAATA